CAGCCTGCAGCAAGTGCAGCCGGTCTGATGGCCGAGTGCTGTGATGTGCCCAGTGTGGGTACTCAGTGCACTCCAAGCCAGGACTGCTTTGCAAGCGGGGCACCCCTGAGAATTGTCTGTCCGGGGTGGAGGTCGGGTCCCTTTAAGCACAGCCCTCGGCTAGCCTGAGGCAACAGCTCCACGCTCTAAGTCCTCATCTGATGCCCTGCCGGCACTACTTCCGGCCATCCTTAACCCCGGTTCAGGGTCCACTTAATGTGGAAATGCTAGTTCGAATTAGCAAAACGCTAATTCGAACTAGTTTTTTAGTCTGGATGCGTTAGTTCAAATTAGCTTAGTTCGAATTAACTAATTCGAACTAAGTTAGTTTGAATTAGCGCTGTAGTGTAGACATACCTCCGATATAATATTCCCCACGTGGGTTCCAGTTTAGTGAGAATGATATTTACATTCAGTTTCAGTGCTTTCACTCCAAAATATAAGACAAACAAGATAGATAAGAAATTTCATTGCCTACAATGATGACTGTACAGCACACAGTAGAAATACTTTGTTCTAGTGTTCAGGAAATTTAATATTAAATGGTAGTACAGGTCTGCTGATTCGTATAGATGAGTATTGGTGAATCTGGCTGGCAATTAAGCTGCAAATGGCTTGCCAGTTATAAGTAGAAATGGACCTGAACTGCAAAATTTCAAATAAGGATATTGATCCTTACCTGCTTTTTGAAAGTGGAGGGATTCATTAGATCTGGGGTTTTTGTTGGATCCCTTTTGTTAGCGTTTGTCTACACCATGCTGCAGGCTGGATTATGGAACTGTAATTTGCAAAGCACTCTAAATTGTTATGCTCTAACTATCCCATATGGACCCTTGTGACAAACTAAAAGGTGCAGCACTATGTTAAAATGAACTGGGTACCTTTTAGTCTGGGGTCCACATGAGGGCATTTAGAATCCTCTACAAATCACAGTCTTATGGTTTGGTCTTTCATTTTAGTTGTAAAATATTTAACCTCTTAAATGTAGAAACTAGCTTATCTCTGCTAAAGCATTTTGAACGGTTTCTATATCTATATTTTCTCATTTAGGAACATAATGCCATTTGGGAGTAGGATAGACTTTTGCAGTAGACTTTGCATGGGATTATTCTTGAAGACCACTCAGCACAACATCAGTTTATGTAGGAAGGAAACAGTTGTCCAGTTATTTAGTGAAGCTTCCCTATAAAGCATATGCGTTTCCCATACTGTACATAAAGCTAGCCAGTTTGTTTCTTGGGATTATAGACGTTGATCTACAGTGATTGCCAATAAAAAAAGTCAACAATTAATACTGCCACAATATGAAGAACTTTTAAAGTTTGAGTCTTGGCAGAAACAAAGGGTAAGATCCTCACCCCAGCTTCAGCCATTTAGGCAAGATGAAGGGGCTAGAGCAGTGTAAAAGGGCCCCAAAAGTCAAGGATACAGTCAAGGGAGTTTCCTTCTAAGGCTGCCTTCCACGAACCTCTTCATAAAGCCTGGTGTACAGTATGTGCCAGGAGGCAGGTTAGACGCAAGAGGAGTGTGTTGAGAGCAGAACCATAGCATACAGTACTGTGGATATTCTGGGCACTGCTGTGAACCATAGAAGGTCCTGGTTGAATGTCCTAACTTAAATTGGCCTCTGGTGCTGTATGAATTATGTAGAGTCTCAGAGCAGCTCAGGATTGGAAAGATACCAAAGTAGCTTAAAATCATCTTAGTCACCTTTTCAATTGATTACGAGTTCTGTTCTTCTCCTCTCTGAGCACAGGAAATTCTCGATGGAGAGCTGTCCATTTTGGGTTCACTTTTCTAGCTGTTTTGACAACCCTTCCAGGGCACATGGTAAAACTTACTGAGTTGCTTAGGCTTTTTCTAGAGGGAGGTGGCCTGAGCAGGCTGAATTTCTTTTGTGGTTTCTTTTGTAAAGGGTGGAAGAAGATGATTTTTGTGATATTAAAATTCTCAAATTTTGATTTTTTTCTGCAGTTTTGGGTACATTTTGCACAAATTCAAGTAAAAATGGCATTATGTCATGGGGATACTTTCCCATTTCTTTTCAAGATGAAATTCCTAGTCCCTGGGTGTTATATCCTTATTCTTTTAATTCATTACACATTTTCTCTTAGATTTGATCGTCAGCTTTTATTCATAGCTTTCTTTTTCAAGTCCACTTGGTGGTGCAGGCAGGCTGCCTATCAAGCACAACACACATCTTTTTATTTTTGCAATTATAGAAACATTTAAGGAACCGCCAAAGATCAAACAGTTAAGCATAAAATTCTAAGTCTGTGTATCCTCTCAGAAATAGAAATGAGCCTTGTAAGAGCTGTTCCCCACTCTGACACTCCACATGCAGAAGGTGGGAGCCCACAAAAGACCTTAAATACCTTGCCTCTATAGGCTCTGCTTTATAACAAACAAACAAACTCCCCAGAGTTACAGATGCACTGGCTCTGGCAAAGAGGCTGGCACTATCAAGTGATTTAATCCCTGAAAAAAACAGGAAGGAACACTTGAATTCTTTCCCCAGGGGTACACCAAACTCTTTTGCCACAAGAGAGCTTGAAAAAAGAAACAAAAAGTGAAGAAAACAAACTATATCTCTGATAGCTGACCTCTCAGCTGGGCAGACACACACACAGACCTCCTGTTAACACAAGGACACAAGAATCAAATTCTCCCCTTAAAAAAGGGGATTTTATTAACAAAACAAAAAGATATACTTGATAAAGCATACTTGGTTGCTAAGTGTTACAGAGAAACTAAAAAAAGAACAGATCAAAACACAGAGGGTATGTCTACACTAGCCCCCTAGTTCGTGGCTACATGTGTTAGTCAGAAGTTAATCCAAACTAACTCCTTAGTTTGGATTAACTGTTACTCCTCCTGCAATGAGGTGTAACAGTTAATCTGAACCAGGACTTAGTTTGGATTAATTTCTGACTGCCGCGTGTAACCATGGGCAGTCAGTTCGAACTAAGGGGATTTAAAAATGGCACCCGCCTGGAAACATGCAAATGAAGCCCGGGATATTTAAATCCCGGGCTTCATTTGATAGTTTGAATGCCTACATTAGCCACCCTAGTTTGAACTAGGGGGCTAGTGTAGACATACCCAAAGAGCAATACCTTTGAGCTATAGCATAAATATGGTGTGTGGAGTAGGGAAGAAGGCACATAGAATTCACACAGAAAAGTTTAACCAGACAACCAAAACAAAGAAAAATACCCTGATTGTGACTAAATACACATTTCCCCTTACTTAATCATGATTGCTTCGTGGTTCAGTCCACTTCCATGCCCCGTATTCCTTGGAGGCATAGTAGTCCTGTCTGGGTTTAAATCATTCTCTGTCTCCCAATTCCTGGCTTAAACACACACACACAAAGAGAGCAGGCAAGGTATCTACATACAGTTCAGATTTCAGCACTGTATTCCATTGGTTCTTTTGGCCCCCTGCCAACATCTTTAGCTAGCTAAATTTAACCCTTTAGTCACCAATTGCTGTCCAGCATTCCTTCTATCCATTAGAGGCCTAAATTAAAATACCAGATTATTTTTCTGTCTAACACTTTGGAGAAATTAGATGTAGACTCAGATTCAAACTGTATGGTTTGGGACCATTTCTACTGAGTGAGACCACAGAGAACCGGCACACCAATTTATAATTAGGGACATATATGTTACAAAATAAGGTTCATTTAATTTTTTTTTTTGCCTTTTTAACAGCATCAGATATACATTCCTTCTTCCAGTCATCATGTTTGTTGTGGAACCTGCCAAAATGTGTCTTGTGCTTTCTATGCCGAAAATGGAACATTATTTATACATGAAGTAAGTGTCTCTGGACAGCTGGAGGAAATAATAATATCAGGAGCATATATGACTTGATTGAAATATCTAACTGGCATTGTTTAGTTGGTTCCTGTAATATTGTTTCTCACGGTCCTACTTTTAGTCTTTCCATGTGGGCAGTAGTGGTATTCAATATAGCTGTGTCCCCATGGCAATCTGTCATCAGACAACAAATATAGGAGAGCAGAGAAATCAAACTCTGAAGGCTAAATCTACAAAGGAACTTAGACAGATAGATAGGCATAGAAATCCAATTTTTAAGCATCAGTGAGACCCTCAGAATCACTGCTTGGCAGGTGCCTAATTCTATAGGCACCTGAACTCCCTAAGTACATGCCTTTCTTTTAGTAAAGTCCCCTAAGTTCCAGAGGCATGTGTAAAACTGCCTGAGTCCTCCCAATGCTGAATAGCTTGACACTATAATTTGTGGCCAGCTGGGGGGGCGTGGGGTGGGAGGGTTCTCAAACTAGGCTTTGCCCCCCTCTTACTTGTGGAGCCCAAACAAGTAGGTGGTCTGAGAATGCAAAAATTCATTTGGACAGAAAAAGTAAAAGTGAGAATGACTCTGTAGCCTATTGGTTAGGCCACTTCTCTGAGATATATGAGACTCAAGTTCAAGTACCTGCTCCAATGAATATTTAATGTTGTATACAAAGTGGAACAATTTAAATAAGTGAGATTGAGAGCCCCTTCTCTAAGAATTCCTGGTAGCTCAGTGACTAGGATAGTTACTCAGATTGAGGATACTCAGTTTGAGTTCTGCTCTGTAGCAGAGATTTGCAAAGAGATCTCCCTGTCACAGGGAAGTGCCCTAACAACTGGGCTAATGGCTATCATGGGATCCCTCTCCTGAGTTTTTCATGAGAAAGGGCTGACCTGGCTCACAGCTCTGAATCCCAGGTTTAGATAGGTGCCTCCTTCCAGCCTGGACTTAAGCACTTAACTGCCTTTGAAGGGGGAGTTAAGACGTACCCCTGTCCTTAGCATTTCCTATTAGTTAGCTTAGGTTACTCACTGCTCAGCATGCTGGCTTCTGTGAATCCCATTCATCAGCGTCTAAATCCCTGTGTATCGCAGATGGAGCCTGGGTGCTTTACTCAGGGCTGCAGTTTCCACTGGGTAGCTTTGTGCCTAAAAGTTAGCAATGCCATGTCTAAGTCCCTTTCTGTAGCTAAAGGTGCTCACCACTTCTGAAAATCAGGCTTCTTAAGAGACACTGGAAATACCATTGATGTAAGTGAGGCTCTTCAGCATACATATATGGGAATTTGCCAACGTGAGTTTTCTGGTTGAGGCTCAGAACCCAAAACAGTGGTTGCACTCCAGTGACTGGTTTTAGTGATTCCTGTCTTGTACTTCTTGGAGAGGTTGTAAAGCATTTTGGAATTGACGGTGTGATATAAATGAAAGATTATTAATAATATTAAGAAGGTTAATATTCATAAGTTCCTAGAGCTCAAGCTTTATGGTTGTCTGCAGGGAATCAAGATAGGATTTGCCCCTTCCCCAATTTATTCTTTATTTTGGCTGGGGATTGTTTTTAGTCTCCTTCCTCTGAAGTATCATGATGAAGCATCAGAGATGGGGTGGGCCAATGCTCTGAAGTTGCACTGAGCATTCTCTCTCACACATGCTTATCTAGGTGGCTCTTGCTCACACACTCAAGGTCCAACTGATGGCCCTATGTGAAACTGGGATGGAATTTGCCACAGGTCAGATCATTTGGATTATCTAGGTATATATCTTGATTCCCTGATATTGCAGGAGACTCAGGCACAGGAGCATCTCTGTGCTTCCTATTCTCTTCCTGTGGACTGAAATGCTTTCATCTAATTTTGGTTGTTGGGTTTAATGTTTGGGTGCTAGATGGTTTTGGTGGCCTGTAATATGAAGGGTATCATCCTAGATGATTTTATGATCCCTTCCGGCCTTAAACTCTATGACTCTTTGACTCACTGACAATAAATCCTAATTCAGTTTTCACTTTGATTTATGGAGAAGTAATTTGCACTAGCCCTTTTTCTCACTCTGGCTCTTTGTCTTTTGGCTCGTGTATTGATGAGAAATAGAGTCCAGGTTCTGCCTGATGCTATCTTAGGCCATGTTTACACTAAACAGAAGATCACCACTGTTGTGATCAATTTTCCGGAGTTCAATTTAGCGAGTCTAGTTAAGATTCGCTAAATCGAACTGGCTGCTTGTACTCCTGCTTGGGGGAGGAGTAAGAGGAGCCAATGGGAGCAAACAGCGGGGAAATGTGAAACAAAATATGTCTACTTCAGCTGCATACTTAATGTACAGACCTGACTTAAGTGGCTATATGTGGAAACAACACAGTTATAACTAAACAGTGTTCTAGGACATGTCAGTGCTACTTGCTATCTGTTCTGGTATTTTTGTTTTGTATTTGTAGGAGGGAAGCACCTGGGTCTCCAATTGCACCAAATATGAGTGTGCAAAGACTGCTGTAGGTGCTATGATACTGGGATCTAGTGTTGTCTGTCCCCCTTTTAATGAGACTGAATGCTCAAAGGTTTGTACTTTGTGACGTTAATCATAATGACTAATCTTTTGTTTTGGAGCTTGTTTGGGAATTCATTTCAGAACTATTATGAGTTTGGCAACTGTGTTATACTTTCCATAGAATGATTAATCTAAAAAAAACCCCATTTGGTAAGTAGTAACTTTTAAACAAGCAATGCATAGTCATATTTTATTATTTTTCTGTTTGTTTTTAGAATTGTATCATACATTGCAAACAATGTCCACTTTTAAAATGTTGTTTAATTGGTATGAAGCTTGCTTCACTCTTAGGACTGATCTACACTAGACCAGGCAGGACAGCTTAAGGTGCGCCATCCAGCTACACAAAATGCATAACTGGATTTTTCTTCACTTAAGTCAAGCCACGGCAGTGTCTACACTGCAGGAGTCTGACAGGAGCACATGTTTATGTCGACTTCCCTTACTCCTCGCAGAATCGGAAGTACTGGATGCCTGTGGGCCCTCCACTAGACCCCCTTCAGAGGGACAATCTTCTCTGTAGTGTAGGCATTCCCTAAGGAGGTCAATCTTCTAGTGTTTGATTTAGCAGGTCTAGTGTAAACCTTCAAATCAAATGCGGAGGGCAGCCCCCGCCAGTATCCAGTACTTCTCATTCTGTGAGGAGTAAGGGAAGCTGATGGGAGCATTGGCCTCCTGCAGTGTAGATGCCGCAGTGGCTTGGCTTAAGGTAAACCAATTCCAACAATGCTTTTTGTGTAGCTAGTTGGTGTACCTTAAGACAACCCGCCTGGTCTAATATAGACCAGGCCTTATAGAGTAGTTATTCCATTTAATTTTGTCTGAGCAGAGAGTTCTGAATAGGACCTATTATTCACAGGGTTTATAAACATATACATGAAATAAGTTGTTTCAAGCCATTTAGAAATTTCGCAAATAAATGTGCAGCAGCAGAGATTCAAAATTCTATAAATTGAGCAGAGATTGTAAGCACTGCAAGATGCCTGCAGAATTTGAGCTCTTTCTGAAGCCAATAGCTCTGGTTCATGAAAAATACAAGTTACTTAATATACCTACCTAAAATTCAACATCTATAAACCAAATAGCTATGTTTAAAGAATTAGGTACTGAACACACACACTTTTTTATTGTTTAGGAAACATGTGTTTCTATCTTATATCCTAATTAATTGTTTTAATCTGTTTTTTGTACATTCTAGTCCTTGTATTTCTGGATGTTTAAGCAATGTTCCTAAAACTACACTGCAATATCTGTCCTGAGTACTAATTTCAGATTCTGCACAATGTCTATGAAACTGTTGGATGTTACTTAGAAAGGGCACAGATCCATTCCTCTGCCTATCCCGAATAAAGCACCATATCATAAAGTAAAGTTGACACAGTTAAAAACTTTTTCTTATTGTTGGAGCTTTTTCATCGTATTCTTTCTTTAATAATAATTGACACAATTTTCCAGAAGGGTTTCCTAAAATTATTCTTCTGAAAGAGTTCAACCTGATTTTCAGAAGTGTAACATACAGATTTCAAGTAAGAGTAGCTGTTCAGCAGTTCTGAAAATCAGGTCCCATTAATTTAGGCGCTAATAAGGATTTAGGAAGCTAACTTTAAGTGCTTGTTTTTGAAAATTTGATCAAGATATTCAATAATGTCTTTAGACTATAGAAAAATAATACTAGAAGTTGAAAAAATATTTTGCATGATTAGTACAAGACTGCTATTTCCATCTACTTTCCTGCTTTAGCTACACTTTTTGTAAATGTATTAAAAGTTTAGACAGTTTTATCTCTTGTTTATGCCGGTTCTACATGAGAGAAGACCTTTCTTTCTTTTTAATTTAAAAAGAAATATCTCATTTTGACATGTTTTCTGCATTTCTGCTTCAGTCCTGCCTACAATATGTTGAGAAGAAAACAGTAGCAAAGATCAATTATAGAACATTAAAGGAAAACCAACAACTAGAATGAAAGGATATAGTAGAGCTTTTAAACTATATTACATGATGCAAAATTATAGGTTGTCAGTTGTAAATAGTATCTAATTGGTATCTTCACTGTACTAATTTCTGTGGTACACAATAAATCTTTTTAAATCTTCAACAAAATTACATTAGTAAACATCCAGATAACTTCTGATGATGTTACTTGAGCCATCAGTGGAAGAATGGATGGCAATATTTATAGAAGATGGCTGCTCCTTGATTCAATAGAGACCAATTCAGATATACTGTGTCATAATGGCCATTTTATTTTCAAATATTATATTTAAAACAGCTTTGAGATTTTGACACAGATCCTTTGCAGTTGTGAATTTTTGTGACTTCGGGCATGACACACCCATTTACACTAGCTGCAGATTTGGCCCATTATGTTATAAATGTAATTGGATACATCAGGACACTGCATTGGGCACTATCTTTCTTGATATATTCCCCATTTCTTTTCCTAGAATGGAGGCACTGTACAGACTTATAATGATGGCTGCTGCAAGACCTGTAAGTAAAGAAAGCTGCAAAAATGCTAGTTTGGCTTTGGTTTTGAAGAGCAGTGTTTTTTAACTCAGTTGCTGGGACATAAAAAAGGAATAAGCATGCAGTCCCCAAATCAAACACTATTATTATAGCTCTTTAACAACTGTTTATTGAAAGTCTTGCTTCATATGGCTGCTGGTATGGTGATTTTTAACCTTATCCTTCTGGAGTATAACCAAATCTCTCCAAAGACAGCCTGAGGAAGATGAAAAATTATCTCAAGTTAAATGATTAAAAGATTGATTTGTAGTTAAGATTACTCCAAAAGCATACAGAGACACATATATAGTATTCCCTATAAAAACTCAGAACACATTTTCTGAAATTAAAATTTATTTTGATTATATTTCAAAACAGATTGTATAATTATGGGGTTATTCTTGTGCATTTTTTAGGGTCAGAGTGCTAGAACACAATATTTTTTCAATTGGAAAATTAGCACTTTCCATCTTAGAAAATATATTTAAATCCAAAATATGAAAAAATTGCTGGGTGTAGATAAAATAATTATTAATTGTGGTAAAAGGCACAAATCTAGACCAAATGTACACCTGTGCTATCTATGATATACAGGCAGTCCCCGACTTACGCGGATCTGACTTATGTCGGATCCGCACTTACGAACGGGGCTTTTCTCGTCCTGGAGCTCACGGGCGGCGGGTCGTCACCCGTGTCCTCCGGGGCGAGAAAAGCTTCTCACGGTCTCCCTGGTCTGCTGGGGGGGTCCAGCAAAGCTGCTGGACCCCCCCAGCAGACCAGGGACACCCGAGCAAAGCTGCCGCCTGGGCGGCTTTGCTCGTTTGCCCGGGAGGAAAGCCGCCCAGGCAGTGGGACCCCTGCCGCATGGGCGGCTTTGGTCCT